CAGAGGCTGGGTTAACCTTATCTATCTCCACCACTCATTTATCCTCTGTCATAGCAACAAGAGCAAACACTCACTTAGTTGCTACGGTTTCCCAGGGATAATGGGGTCTGGTGTGTGGAGCAGAGAGTAATTACACTCCCTCTTTGAGGGCACAGCGGCTGAAAGGGAAAACAGGCCAGCGCAGTACCTGGTGCACACTGGGAGTCCTGAGGGAGGTGACGCCCTCAAAGCAGGCGAGTTAATTACAGCAGCACCGCTCGGGTGGGAATTGGAAGCTTGTCTCTGGTCAATTGTTTAATTTTTATTTTTTAAATGGAGTATTTAAAAAAAATTTGCCTAATTAATTTCCTATAAAAACATGACGTAGACAAGAGCTGCTTAGCTGAAATAACCAGGCAAATGAAAACTGACCGGAGAGCTCCTTATGGGCCTGCACGGGACATTTCTGTATTTGCAGGGCTCTGAGGAATTCCTGCTTTGTGGGCACCTGTAATCAGCCCAGCTGCAGGAGGGCTCGTGCAGGCTGTGCTTTCGCTGCCGTGAGGAGCTGTTTTCTACCGCAATGACTGCCTCAGTGTCAACAAGACCCTTCAGGTTTGACTTTGATGTGGCCAAGGTAAAGTCAAAATGTGTTTGAGGTGGAGGAGTGGGGAAGGGACTTGGTGTAGTGAGATGACGCTAAAAGTGTACATGAGCTGAAAAGGCAAGCTGATAAACTTGGGATAGAAAAATGTTAAGCACGTTAAATGCAGAGCTACAGCCTGGCTCAGGGAGTGCATGATCCGGGAATCTCTGGAGGCTGGGAGGGGATTCTGGAAAAGTATTGCTGTGTAGTGCTCTGTTTTTACACTCTTTGTTACACATCTGCTCTTGGGGCTGATCGGATAGCAGGTACCATGCTCACTGAACCTTTGGCATGACCTGCTCTGTTATTAAAGATAAGTGATGTTCATGTTGCTCTTCTGCTGAGAAAACTGACCTTCTTCCACAGAAGAGTCTGAAATCCTTTGAAGAGCATCATGTCAAAGGGCTGTATCTGAGTACTGTCATCAGCCACGGCTGGATATGGCACACGGCAACCTTCTGCCATCGTGGTCACCGATGTAGTTGTAGTTGGTGCTGAATGTGCTGGTTGTTAGAATGCAGCTCAGCAGTACACCCAGAAACAGCTCCCACTGCTGTTCTGCTGCTGCATTGTAAAGGTGTGCACGATCCATGTCTCTGTGGTTGGTGGGGTGGTGTGGAAGGGTGCTCACCTCTACCCAGCCTGTGCCTGGGGGACGTGCTGCTGCGCGGCCAGCTGCAGCCCACCTTCAGCCTCCAGGCCAAGAACTGGGAGACAGCAGAAACAGCACTACCACAGAGCTGCAGGCAGAGATGTGCTCAGTTGTGCATCCTCCGAAATGCTTCTGGCCCCGTGCAAAGGATTGTCTCACTGCAGGGCACTGCTCCTTCCTTGCAGCACTTGCCTTAGCTTCTGTGCCAAGGGCAGCCAGGTGGCCTCAGATTTAATGAGGTTTTGTTTCACATGACTTCCTCCATCATAGGAAAGGAAAGAACAGGTGGAGGGTTTTTAAAGCAGGTCATAGAGTATCGATAAGAGCTCCCTTTTAATTCTTAATTCAAGGAAAAAAGCAGAATCCTGGAGTGGGAACAGTTACAGTTACAGTTCTTTCTGTAACACTAAGTACTTGTGCTTCCCTTTTATTCTGTATACAGTATACTTGCAGCAGGGCCAAGAGCTGAGGATTTCTCTTGCTCTCCTGCTGCTAGAGACTGCTTCTGCCCTTTGTTAGCTTGTTGAGAGGAGTCGGGGACAGGGAGGGGATGGCTGGGTGAGGTATGTGCTAGCTGGAGTATTTCTGGGAGAGAATGCAGTGGAGACTGACTGCCAGAGAGGGATATTTCACCACAGCCCATAGAAATGGCTCCCCAGGCTGGTGTGGTTTTGCTGTCTTGGTGTTTCTGATTAGGCTGATTCCACTACTTGTGGAAATGGATTATTATCTATGTCCTGTACATAGATAAAAGGAAGGAAGCTTCCAGCCTTCCAGATACTGCTACCATTTCTCTGGTGGTGTTCCCATGGCCATACAAGATACTCCTTTCCCTCCTGTCCTGCTCGTGCTCTTGTTTCTGCCCCAGCAGACTGTGGCCTGCAGTCCCATGCCATTCTTGCTTCCTTCTCCCAGGCAGCTGAGTCAAACCCCACTGGGCTCTTCCTTCAGAGGCAAGGATGCAAAGCCACCTGCAGTGCCAGTTTGCATTAGAGGGAGCAGCAGACACCCAGTGCTGCTGAAAGAAAATGCTCCTGTAAATATTTTGGGGAATAATCTATCTGAAGACTGTTTTGGGGTGTGATGGATCTCTAGGCTGTGTTTTGTTTTCCGTCTCTCTTTGCAGATGCTGCTCAGGGAATGGTGGAGAACAGGAAGCGTATGCTGAGTAACAAGAGGCAAAAGAGCATGACATTGCTTGTTTTTGCTCAGTCGTGCTGAGAAAAGCGCACTGTGGTATGAGGCTGGAGAATGTGTTTAGGTGTCTCCTGAGAAAAATGCTTGGCTGATGTGCTCTATTCTGACTTGCCTTCAGCTCTGTTGAAGCAGATGAAGCTCTGCAGAGGAGAGGCAGATGTATTCAGCACTGCTTTCCACCCTTGAAAGCACAGCTGCTGGCAAAGCAAACTCCTGCTCTGACCACACTATGGAGCTCATTTCCAGCTCCAGCTTTTATGCTAAACATCCCACAGCTGCCAAGTGCCGGTCACATCGATGTGGTTGTGTGTGTTGAGCCTTGCCAGTAGACATCAAGTGCGTGAGCTGTGCTATTCTTCAGGTGTGCATTAGTGGGAGGGAAGAGTATGTGGTGTATCTGAAGAGTAATTTAATATATGCATTTGTGTGGGGGGGGGTATGTGTGCATGTAATCCTGTAACAACACATCACAGGCTTGGAAAATAGCTGGAAAATCCTGGATCAGCCATTCTGTGTGAAATTGTAGCTTCTCTCTCCTTCTAACCCTGGCCTGAGGCTGAGTGCCTCTGTATTCTTTTGCTGTTAATGCTTGATTGCTCCCCAGTGTGTGAGCTGCTGTGGGCCATGTGTGAAGAAGATGAAAAGAGCAGGAGGTGTTCTGGGACAAATTGTGAATGCAAACCCACATCTTGTGTGGCGCTGAGCAGAGCGGGGAAAGTAGTTGGTAAACTGAAGATGCCAGGGTTCAAGGATTTCTTCTAGGGATGCTCCCTTTCAAAAGGGATCACCTTAACTGATCTAGTAATGGTTTAAAAAAAAGTGTGACAACTCTGTCTGTCCTTCCTATCTCAGCGCTCTTTCTATCTCCTCCGTGCCTCACTTTGCCGTGCAGTTGAACTGCGCTGCTGAGCACGACGCTGAATTGTTAGAGCCTTCACCCTACTTACACATCTGTCCCCTGCGCTAAAAGAAATCTGTGGTTTTTTGTGGGATTCCTCCTCTCCTGCCTCTTGTAAGCGCTGGTTTTCAGACTCTGTCCATAAACTGGATGGTCAGAGCGGAAGGAACTGGTTCATCATTTGTAACCATTTTGGCTCGCAAGGCTGATGTGGAGTTGGCAGGAGAGAGCTGTCGCTTCTCTAATGCGTGTTTCTGTGCTGGGGAGCGTGTGGCACGCGTGAGATCAGCCTGGGGAGACTGAGCTGGACCTGCATGAGCTCTGTGCCTGCCTATGTAAGGGACTAAGGCCATGCAGCCCGTGATGCCCCCATGCCTGGCACAGAAGCAGAGAGCTCTGTATGTCAGCAGGAGATAGGCATAAGTGCAGCACGCTGAATCGCGGGCACTGCTGGGGTGAGTGTGCTGTGCATTGAGACTGGAACATGTGTTTTCTTGGGAACTACTGCCCAGTTGGTAGGTGATGCACCTTGCCTGCTACTGTATCCGATTTGTGTTTGCCAAACAGTATTAAACACCTTATCTCTGCCCAGCAGGTATGGTTTCAAAGCTAGCAAGTGTCTGTTCTGGGGGAGGTAAGTATTAATACCTGGAAATTTATGCATTAGGGCTTGTGAGACACTTGCTCTGCTGGAAAGCAAATCCAGTTGCAGACAAGCCGGGTACATCAAGCCTAATTTTGCCTCCACTGAAATATTTTGGCTGTGTCTGTCCTTTGGTGCTTTCCATTCATCTGAGTTGCTGGTAGGACTCGGAACCGCTGAGCTGCAAAGTCTCTTTGGGGATACGTTTCTCCCCCGAGTGCGCGGAAGATGGCTCTTGCTGCCTTCACTGTTTGGTTCACGGTGAAGTTGTCATTGAACACAAGGAATCACGGGTGTGACCATGTTACAGGAGCTGCAGTAGGATTGCTGCTGCAAGAGGTGCTGTCTTAAACATCAGAGAATGCAAACAAGTTGCTATTGTAGGCTGCAGTTATAAATATCAGGCTATTATGGAGGCAGTTTTCATTAACGGAATGACTTGCCACTATTCATGCTGATTGTCGCGTGGGTTTTTGTTTGTTACCCCATTAAGAAGTTAAAAAAAGCAACTGTAGCTTCTTTGTGTCCTTTAGAGTGGCTTTCTCCGTCAGTACTGCAGCACTGGAGCTATAAAGGTGATGGGGCAGAGATTATTCTTGCAAACAGTGCTTTTCTCTAGTTTGAAATGAAAAATCAGAACTGACAGAGAGCCTCTGGCTTTTACTCAGAATACCATAAAATCTAAACTTCCAGCCTTGTCCTCAAGGTATTTGAAGGTGTTTATTGGCTTATATTTTACGAGGATGATGGTATGTTTTTATCACTGTCTGTGGGTGAGAGTCTGTCTGCTTCCACTGTGTGTGATGCTGGCAGATCACCTTTGGTGGTTGTTTTGCTTGCCAGGAGAGCGGCCCTTTGGGACAGTTAATGAGGCTGTACCAGGTGTTGCCCTGTGTTTTCTCAAGGGTGGGGTGGCAGCTGTGCTCAATGCTGGTGTTTGCTTCTTACAGGTGTGATCCCTGTCTCTCCTCCCCAGCCTGGTGCCATGGCTGACACAATTTTTGGCAGTGGGATGGGCCAGTGGGTGTGCCCCAATGACCGGCAGCTGGCACTGCGAGCCAAGTGAGTCCTCGCCACCTCCTTCTTCTCCTTCCAGCCTCAGCTCTGGCCTGAATGGTTCCCTGCTCTCTCTGGGGAGCACTGGCCCACCAGCCTCCACCACAGCCAAGTTGGGAGGCAGGAGTTTGCCTTTCACGCAAACCCTTCTGTACCCTGGAATTGCGCTGCATGGCTGGGACAGGAGCCTGCTAAGCTGGGGCTCGGTGCTTGGTTGCTGCTCCAAGCTGCCAGCCTGCAGTGGAGTTTGCAGCGAGGCTGGTGTGTGGCAGCAGTCCTTCCCTGAGTGAAAAGAAGGGCTTGGAGGCAGGTATCTCTGCAGCACCCTAAATATAATTGATAGCATCCCCCAGCTGCCAGCACTCTTTTGTTTTAGGAACTTGTCATTTGATCTCATTTTCCCCTGAAGTTGAATTACTGCATAACCTAAAGACAGAAGGGGTGGAGATGAGTCAAGCACTAGAATTGCATTTGCTTCTTGGATGCTTTCCTTCTCTGGCAGCTGGTGCTGTGCCACTGCTACCTCTGCTCTTGCGTGAACCTCTGGGGTCAGCCTACTGCAGAGTGCCAAAAAATAGGAGCTCACCCTGTGTCTGAGGGACCTGCCTAGGTGTGAACAGTGCTGGGAGTTGCCAAATTTGTATTTCCAGGCGTGCCCTGTGATTTGTGTATTTGAACTGAGGACCTGAGAAAAGTGTGACCTGAAAGGAGGAGGGTGTAGGTTTGGGAGTGTGTTTGGGAGTCTGCTGTTGGCATTTGTGATGTCTGGCATCAGTATGCATGTTGACTAGGGTACCCCCAGGATAGCCAGCCCTCGGTACACTGCTTTTCCTTATGGGCAGAGCCAAACAGGACTGAGGACATGGAGTGATAAAATACAAACTGGAGCAGAAAGGGAAGTGAGAGGACAGGGAGAGCCAGCACAGCACTCAGTGCTGCTGGAGTGCCGTGGTGATCTGGCCAGTGAGAAAAGACTCCCACTTTGGGTGTTAGCCAGAGAGAAGACTTCTCTTATGGATGCAGGCTCTGTGTGCCTGGCAGGTTTGGCCTGTGGGCAGGTCAAGGGTGTTTTGCTTTCCTTTCACAGCGTAATTCTTCTCTCCACCCCCTCCCACAGGCTCCAGACAGGCTGGTCGGTGCACACGTTCCAGACTGAGAAGCAGAGGAAGATGCAGGCGCTGAGCCCGCAGGAACTTGAGGTCATTCTGGAAGTCATCCGCAAGGCGGAGAAATTGGACATCATTGAGCAGCAGCGCATTGGGTACAGTCACGTTCATTTGTCCCCTTCCCTCAGAAGGAAAGGTCAGCGCAGATGGAGGAGTGGCTCTCCTGGCTGCCTGAGCTCAGCCTCCATCAGAGCATCCTCCTTAGGTCAGTTGTTTTCCTGTCCTGTGTTGCCTGTTTGGAGATGATGAGCATTGGGAAGGATGTGATGTTTGCCTTCTCCCCACCTCTCAAGCCTTTCTTGTGCTGCCTTTGAGCCTTGGGGCTTGCTGTTGTGGCAGCTACTGGCACAGTCCCTGGGAAAGGCAGCCTGTGCTGAGGCAGCTGCCCCAGTGGCTCTAGAAGAGGCCGAGCTGTGCAGCTACACTCACTGCTGGTGGACAGCATGGCTCAAACCGCTGCTGGCAGCATGGTCAGGTGCTCCCATCTGTGGCAGCCCCCTGGGATTTTGCTTGGAGCAGTGAATGAGTTTGTGTTCTAGTTGGCTGAGCCCTCTGGAAGGGGTTTGCTAGCTTGAATTATTTAATTTATGGGCTTCCTTCTGCTGTTGCAGATATTAATTTGCTTTCAGTTCTGCTGGAGGTCTGGTCTCAGCTGTGTCTGTGGCCATCCTACACTGGCTGCCTTTAAAGCCAGGGAGTTTGGCAGTCCTGCAGCATTTCCCAGCAGTGTTTTGTGTTGGTGAGACAGGAAACCCCAGTGACTCCCAGCTTGTGTCCAGCAGGCTCAGCTTCCTGCCCCTGCGCTTCGCTCTGTGTCTGTGCAGTGCACATTAGTGAGGGCTAATGAGAAGTGATGGTGATGTGATACATGGGAGACCAGCCCCAGAAGCAGCCAGCGACCCTGAGGGGCTGATCGTTCCTGTGTGGTTGTTGGTGTAGCTGCAGAAAGCGATAGCCTTGCTGTTTCCGTGCTGAAGCATTCTCTGAAATGCCTTTGTTAACTCCTGGGAGTTCTCTTGTGCTGAAGTCAAGGATCATAAATCCAGTCATGATGGCTCAGCCTGGCTGTGCTGCCTGACCTCGTCACCACAGGCAGTACCTCTTTCAAACAGACCTTGCCTTCCTCTCAGTGTGGGACTTGGTTGATGGGACATTAGTGCTAATGAGAATGGAGTTGCAGGGGTAGTGGGACTGCGTTTCCTCCCTGAGCCGCATGCACACGCATGGCTGCGGTTGGTTGCTGCCTCTGATAAATGGCCTGGCTGTTATCGTCCCCATCTACAAATGGATGCCTGAGGACTGCCAAGCAGTGATCTCATGACAGCGGCCTTGCTCTGCGTGCTTTCCACATCCTGCATCCTAATTGCTTATCCTGCCTGCCTTCCCCTTTGTGGTCCTGCTGCTATGGACATTGTGCATACGTATGTGCTTCCTGTCTTCCAAGTGACTTTTGACCGAAGCAGGGAACAGTTACT